AAAAAAATCCCTTAGTGTGTTTATTGCTTCTGCAGCTTGTTTAATTGAAGGCCTTTCCTTCGGCAAAACACTAATTTCCTCGTCGGATGAAGCCTCGTCCATATCTTTATTTAACAATCCGTTTAAAATCTCCTTCTCTGTTAACTCCTCTGTACATTGTACATCATCGTCGACTTTTGCATATTCGTCAAAGTTGTTCATGGCATCACTCAAATTTACATACGAGGAAAATTCCTTCAGTATTTCATCGTCTAGGTCAAGGTCATCTAAGTGATCCATGTCCTCGCCACACGGATTTTCCTTTTTACAAAATCCTGCTGATCGGAAAGAGTTCTTGATGGTGTTTACTGAAACTTCTTTCCAAGCAGTTTCTACAGTTCGTAGAGCAACCAGCAGATCAACGTCAAATTTCATGCTGTTTTCCACATGAAATAAAATTTTGCGAATCAACATTTTCCTGTAGATTCTTTTGAAGCTGTGGATCACACCTTGATCCATTGGTTGCAGCTCTGATGTCGCATTTGGGGAAGGTACTCCACTTTTATCGCCTTCAAAGTTTTAATTTCCTTTGAATGCGCAGTGCAATTGTCGTCAATTATCAAAATTTTTCTGTTCTGTTGATGCATTTTTTTATCAAGAATTCGAAGCCATCCTTCGAACAGCGAACCCGTCATCCTAGCCTTCTTGTTGGCACGATATGCCACAGGTAAAGATTTTACACCCTGAAAACCGCGGGGACGCTGCGAATTACCAATTACAAGCAATAGTAATTTCTCATCACCTGACATATTCGCTCCAAGCAGAACAGTTATTCTTTGTTTGGACCGCGTATTTCCTTTGCATGTTTCACCTTTAAAAACTAAAGATCTATCAGGTAAAAGTTTATAAAAAAATGCAGTTTCATCTGCATTAAAAATATCGTCCTCACTATAGTTTTCCGTAATTTTTTTTAAAGTTTCTTCCTTGAATATACGCACGGTATCTTTGTTTACTGAAGAGCTCTCCCCGCATATTTTTTTTGAACACTATTTCATGCCGATGCTTAAAGTTCTGAAGCCATCCATCGGAAGCTTTGAAGGATTCATTGGGACAGAGTTTTTTTAAAAAAACTGTTGCCTTTTCCTTTAAAGCGTTTTCATCCAGAGCAATGTTCTTGCTGCGCATGCCTTTCATCCAGTCTAAAAGGGCTTTCTCAAGAAGAGGGAATATTCCATCTCTGAGTCGCATTCTTTCTGGTGCAGCTTTTAAAATGGATTCTCTGTTCTTCACTATTGTGAACAGAGTGCTCTTAGGTATTCCAAATTTTTTAGCGATTTCAGTTTTAGGCATGAGTTTCTCGTCGATGCACTCTAAAATTTTTCTCTTCAAATCAATAGATAAAGCACAACGGTGAGCTACTAAAGGTGGCATTTTTATCAAATGACAAATCAGCGTGTTGAAATGCAAGCTTGCAAAATTAAGAACAGCACACTTTAATCAAATGCAAAAACCTTTTCCAGCTAAAAAAAAAAATGAAACGGAAAAGGTGAGGCAGAGTAAAGGAAAAGAGGTGCGGATGTCGGCAATGGGAGGGGGGGGGCAGAGTAAACAAACTCACCCGATTCGACAGCTCGTATTCAATGCTCAATGACGTTTGATGTCTACGCACCCCCATACTAGCCAACTGAAATCGCTTTGTCTTGACGCCGTGTGAGACCTTCAGATTCTGTGCTTGTTCAAGGTTAACCATTCAACCCCACTTTCCAATAGGAAGTTAGAAAAGAGTGATGTTCAAATTCAAAGAGGGTCGTTATATTAAGAGTTGAATTTTTTTACGGTCGTTATAGCAAGAGTAAAATAACGTTATCTCTTATGGATGTGAATTGGGACTCCTTCACAGGGTCGTTATATCAAGTGGGTCGTTATAACACGAGTCGACTGTAATTTAAGCAACTTATGGTCCATGAAACATAAAGGCTTAAGTTAAGTTACTCACTATTAACTTAAAATGACTGTTTTTTAAACTTCAAAGGTAATATGTCATTTTCCTGGCATTCAAGATTTGGTGAATTTCTATTTTTTTTTTTTTTTTCTCGAACAAATGTCAATAAACTACACTGCTGTCTGTAAGATAAGTGTAACTAAAGAAGTATACAAAAAAATTTTTATATTATTTTGAAGACTTTAAATTTGAAAAAAAATTTTGGTCTGAATTGTCATGTTTAAAAAGAATCACCCATATATATATAAAATGCTTATGATCTATTTTCAATACTCAAAAATTATACGCTTTTTTTTCTCTTTGATATACAATGCTATGAAGGGTTTTATGTTTAGAAGATAATAATTTTCTGTCAATTTTGTTTTTACTTAGTTTTGCTGTACTAATGACACACATTAAGCTTATTTTTAAAAAATATGCAAAAATATAGAGAAAATTTCTACAGTATAAAATTTATTTTGAAAAGTTCAATTGTTCTTAATGGAGCCGAGGTGGCTCAGGGAATAGAGCACTTGCCTCTCAATGAGGTGACCTAGGTCCGAGTCCCAGCAATTGCCAGTCGATACGAATTCCTTCATCGGCTATCACTGACCACAGTGCTGATGTAAAATATCCTCGATGGTAGATGGATCATGGGTTGGAGTCCCCTAGCTGTGAGGTTAACCATGGGTGATTTTCCACTCCATATAACACAAATGTGGGTTAGTTCCATCAAAAAATCCTTGAAGGCAAATTACTCCCTATACTTGATCCACAAGTTTCCTTGTCTTCTGGATTGGTTTCAAGACTACAGAGCTGGACATCGATAGTCGTAAACTCAAAATTGGGCCGACTGTTCAACGAGTTAAAAAATATAAAATTATATCCTATTGGGGAAGAGGGAGCTCAGAAAATAGAGCCTCTCAATAAGGTCACCAAGGTTCAAATCCCAGCAGTTTCATACGAATTCTGCTCATAGCAGTGCTGAGGGTGGCTGACACAACAGGTGTTAGAATTTACCAACCATGAGAGGTTTTTCTCTCCATGTAATGCAATACATCAAAAAGTCTTACAGGAAGGCTAGTTTGTCCAAATGCTTGATCAAGGAGTTCCCTTGTCTTCTGAAAAAGCAACTTAAAACTGGGTCAGCTATTCAACATCAGTTAAATAAAATAAAATTGATGACATTACAAAATATGCCCAGATCTCTAGTTGTTTTTCCATTTTTATTATTTTAATTAATCACAAATATGCCAAGTTCTTTCCAAACATTTGGAAACGCTAAAATTGAAAACACTACAAAACTAATGCACACATTTGGAAGAAAATCGAAAACATTTATTACATTTACATGCGAGTTGAAAAATAAGATTTTTTTTTTAAAAAAAGAAAACATTCTTCACAATTAACAAGTAATACAACATAAAGACATATAAAAATGAAGTACAGACACAGAAATGCATAGACTGCCCTAAAAACAATCTTTCATAAATCTATCCAAGATCTTTGAAAAGCTAAAAACCAGCCCAAAGAAAACTACTAAATTAGATTAAAATGCAGAATTGCTTGCAAAGGATAAAATATGAATGTAGTTTTCTCGGTGGAAGACCTCAAAAATTAAATTATTTTTTCATTTTAAATATGCATAAGAAATGTTGCATGTTTTGCTCCACCTCATAAGAAAATCCTTTTATGCTTTAACTTTGACAGAAGTGGTCTAACTTTATGGTTCAATTCAAATGAAAGTTGCAACTTTACTTAAAACAAAATTTACTTTAAAAAATTTATTTAATAAAATGTTTAAATTCTTTTTAAAGTCTTTTTCCAACTTTTTATTTTGGAAAGTAATTTTTCACTAAAATTTTTTTTTTGTTACACTTATTTGGTGTTAATTTTTTTTTTTTTTAATATAGGGGATTTTAGTGTCTCATTTATAATTACTCATCTCTTCTCCTTGTCAGTAAAAATATGCAAATCACAATGACTTTTTGATGCTCATACAATATTTGAACAGACCCTAATGTATATTTATAATACTTATAATTTACAATGTATAATTATTTTGAAACGCAGAAGTATTAACATGCTTAACTTTGCATTACATTGTATTAACAGATTTTTAACTTGTATTTTTATGAGTGCAACTGGTGGGTATAAAATTATTTCAAATTACAGTAGTATGGCACGTTTATAAGGGTACTTACTATACAAATAAATTACTTATTATTATAAAAAATTTGTTCATAAAATTATTAATTAATAATAATTGTTAAGTAAAGCAGCTTGAAATAGTAAATTCACAACAATCAATTACTTATTGGTCAATGGGGGCACAAAAGTTATTTAGATAATAAATTAAGGAGAATAATTTTTCCAGAAGATTTCAATGATGTGAATGATGATGCTAAGACATAAAAGAATATTGAAGCACTTCAGGGTAGTAACAAGGGTAGCTAACTGCTCTGCTTTCTGGAAAGCTTTCAATAAATTCATAGTGAATTAAATAACAAAATCTGAAGAATAAAGATAATTACACCTACTTTTTAAAAGAGTAGCCGCGAGATAAATGCATTAAAGTTGCATCTTATATCAAATTTTTCATATGTAGTGGCAGGAAAATTACTAGAAATAAAAAATACTAAACTAAAAATAACCTAAATTTTGTTACCACTAGAAAATACTATTTTACAAAGTGGAGCAAGTTGGCATCCCTGTGCAACTACAACCCTTTCACATGTATTTTTAGAATCCTTGTCAAAGATAAAGTTAAAAGACACATACATTAATTTGTAACAAATATTCAAGTAGGAAAAAACTCCGACAAAAAATATTGAAAAAAAAATGGGATTAAATATCATTAGGTTGCTAACTGGTGTAACTTCAAACTGTTTCTATTAATTGGTTTTCATTTGATATCTATCTATAATTAAACAAGTGTAAATATTTTAAATGTTGTTTTTCTCATTGATGATTCCTAACCAGCATATTTTTTCATACTTTATTCAGAACAAGGATTCTGAAAATTTAAATTAAGAATATAAAAGAAATAACAAACATGAAGAGATCTTGTGTGCATGAATATTCCTAAAGATCAACAATAAATCGCAATTTGTCTCAAAAACAAGAATATCCAAAATGTATTGAAATGGTCAAATATTTTGATAATTGGATCAAACTCTAAAAATACATATAAGAAATGCTTTTAAAGATGGCTTATTTATTATATTTTCTGTCAATGTTGGAGTATAACACAAATCTAAAGTGAAAGCTTTGACAAAGTTTAAAATTCTATCTGTTGACAGGAATCAAAATAAATTGCAATAAAAATTTCTATTAACACATTAAAAATAGAATTTTTTTTATTTAAAAAGCTCCCACAGTGATTGTAAGTAGTAGTAGATTGTAGCTGCCAGTACATCACTGGCAGCAGCTGAATAATGAATCCAGATTAACTTTGTTATCAACTTACAAAGGGAACAAGGGTTAAACTAATTGGGCTTTGTTCAACTAATATAACGGGTCTTTGATAAACTAATATAATGGGTCTTTTTTAAACTGTTCTACAGTAAAGTGCTCGACTTTGTACACAGGTCGTCAAGCTATCAAAATGTGATAACATCCGCTTTACAGGGGGCAACATGTCTTCGGATCATCCTCAGGGATGTTTCTGTTACCAATAGCCCATTGTGCAGCTCTAGTACGATGTAAATATAGTACTTCAAGAAAAAGATAAAAATTTAGGACATTAACTGAGCCAATGTTAGAAAAATTTTTTTTAAATAAAAATGAGAGAATAAAGCTTCCTTTGGTTAACATTTGCAAGAGTTAACAACAATAGATCTATTGTTTTGCTGTTTCGAACATGTTTAGGAAAACTGATCTAGAATTTTGATTCTTGTCCAAATATAATGATCCTCAAAGTTTAAATAAAAGTAATTCCTGTCTTAACTTTCTAAAGCAAAACATATTTTTCAAAAGTAGGGCCAATTCAGTGCATGTAACAAACAACAAAAGTACATTGAACTAAAATCTGTATTGTTACAACAAAATGGTGACAATTGCCTTACAGTTTTTTTGTCTTTTCTTTTTTTGAAATTCATATTAGTGACGTGTTTCAACATTTTAGACAAGACAATTACCAAATTTTGTTGAATATATGTTAAAAGTGCTTCAATTTAAATATTAATATTGAAGAACATTTTTAATAACATGATAATAATATTTTGATAATAAAAATGTTTTGATGAAGTTTTTCAATCAATTTTTCCACCCTTTTCTTACAAGATATATCACTCAAATCTCTACGACCAATAATAATGCAAGTTTCATTGAATTTCTGACCATTACAAGCAGAATTCATTGTAATATTTTTGAAAATGCTCCATCAATCAACATTCAACCCCTTTTAGGTTAGCTAGAGCATCCAAAATAGAGAGGAACTCTGAGATAGAAGACAATACAAGTATCAATTATTACCTGACCTCTACAAACAGAATTTATTGTGATATTATCATTGACAGTACATTATTGTCAATTTAAAATTTTGACAATTTTTATAGTTAGAACACTCAAGTTTTAAATGAAGATCTATGTTGAAAAACATTAATTGTTACCTTGATCAATTTTTATTTGATCACTACCAGCAGAATTTGTTGCCAAAAAGAATTTATGATCAAACGAAATTATCATCAACAATGACAAATTTATTTAGTTGAAGGAATTTATCAGCAACAGGAGCTCTGTGCCTCGTCAAAACAAGAGTTACAACTGCTTTCCTTTTGTTACAATCGAAATTTTATTTCCGTATTATTACCAATCAAAATTTTAATCACTTTCTGACGTAAACAAAACTAAAAAAATAATAGTAATAACAATTATGTTCATAAAGAGGACTAAAAAGAATAAAACAATTCGATTTATGTGACAGCAAAAATGGATATTGTAGAATATAATAAATTTCTATTGCTCTAAATCCACTAATGTCATTTGAAAGCAATACAATTTAGGTGTTTTGTTTTTGGGGTGACAAAATAGAATTTTTTTTTCTTTTCCAGTCCTTAAAAAAATTATGGTTAATCAAACAATTGCTAAAAACATGTACCAAAAAAAATAACTAAATAATTTCAAATTTTTTATTTATTCCATTTTTTTCAATGAAATACCTTTTTAATTTTTTTGGTGAATTAATTTCAAGATATTTATATTAATCAGCAAAACTAAGAGAAAAATTTGAAACTCAGTTTTGAATCTCTAAACATGTGTAGAAACTTTTAGACCAATAAAGTTAAAAATTGTTTAACCTACTAATTAGCTATGTCCGAAATATTTAATGTGAGTATTAACAATGTCCAAAACCTGTAACACACAGGTCTGAAGATTTAAATAATTAATTAACAAAGTTAAAAAAGAGTTGGTGTCTTTTAATCTTGTTTATTATATTTTAGTTGCATTTACTTTGCAGTAAATAAAGAAATTGGTATCACATTTGAAACTTTTAAAAACTGCTTTCACTTGAAATATATGACCATTTTCATACAGTTTAGATATTCTGTATTTAATACAATAAATTGTAAAAAACATACAGTTAAAAAAAAGTAACACTTTAAAAACTTATGAACTAATGATTCAAGTTGGTGACAAATTCTAATGTTCTTGTACAGATGAAATTCTAAGATACAAAATCAGACAGAAAATCGTTCTTTTTCGAAACAAACTTTCTCTTTCACACAGATATATGAAAAGCGTATATTCTCAAAATAAGGGGGTGTAGCAATAGTTTAGGCAAGAGAGCAATCGAAAGATTTGGGCCCCTTTATCTACATTTCATCTTTAACATATTTCTAAAATTATTTAAGCAAATAAAAAAATAAAATTGCACACAATTATAAAATTCATTAGTACAAGGGTAATTTCAAGTAAAAAGGTAATTCATACCTATTGTTAACTATACAAAATCCTAAGCTGGAACAGATTGATTGAATAGTGCTTAGAAATGAACATTTAAAATATGTTATTGAAAATTTATTATTTAGAAACTATTTGCTTAAATTCATTGTTATTTAAAATGGTGTAACAAGTTTTATAATTGTGTGCAAAAAAAATTTTAAAAATATAATGTTCAGGATCTCAAATTTACTGTAATGACCATATTTCTAAACAATAGTTTATTTTGATGGTAAAAAATTTAAAGAAAAGGGAAATGTTTATTCAGAAAAGTACGTTTTTGAGTTCAATATTTTTAGCCTAACCATTTGTGGTTGAGTCAGCCACACATTCCTATTAAAAAATAACATAAAACAACAAAGAGTTAAAATACCATTTGTTCTAAATAATTAAAATATTTCAGGTCATTCCCTTGAACTATTAAGATTGCATCTTAGCATATGAAAATCCAGTCATTTGATCAAGAGTAATTCAAGTGTTACTTTTTTTAACACGCTATACTACCATTAAACGTTAAAAAGGTTTTAAAATGTTAAAATTAATCTAGAAGTTTAAAAGGTGTATACAGCATTAAATAAAAAAATATTCACATGGAACAATTTTGGAAAACCTAATTATTAGGATAAAAAAACAAATTAGCAGGATTGCTACAAGCAAACATTCAAATTCAAGATATCACAAAAATTCATGGAATCTAAACTACCACATCTATACACCAAGAAAACAAGTGTCATAAAAACAACGAAAAGGTAGGAGAAATTAAAGTTCATTTAGCTACATTTCATCTTCCTTCAGCACAGCCACCTAAAAAAAAATTATATATAAAATTAAACCATAAACTATATTTTAAGGAATGTTACAATTTTCAATTTTGAAAAAAATTTGTTTTAACACTAAACATAGCAACACTTAATATATACCCATTTCTACCATGACTGGACTTAATATTTCTTGGTTCAATGTATGAAATATTGATGTTAGGAAGGAAATAAACAAAAAAAAAACTTTATTATAATTAAACAAAATTGTATATTGCCAATTTTTATGCATTACAAACACAAATAATAAGAAATTTTAATTCATCGCTCAACGTATTTTCTACATTAACAGGGTGTTTCCTTTATACATTTTTCGCAAACATGTTTTTCACATTTATGACAAATTTTGATGGTTTTATTGCCACTACAATATTCCATTTGGCATGTCTTATGTTGATAAGAATCTTGCTACTTACTACAAAACATTTAGTTTTTGTCACTTTTTCTTACACAAAAATGCCAATCAAAAATTTTAGGTACTTGCTTGAAATTTGAATTCACAGTTATTCTGATTGAACTAATTACTCAACAGTTTTTGCAGAAATGTGCAACTAATCACATGCAATATGTTAAACACGTATTACATTGTAATTTCTGATCCAATAATCTTATAAAGTAATGAATTGTTCTCCCAGTCAAATGACCGGTTGTGGTAGAAATAGGTATACAATAAGTATTATTCAAAACAAACATAATACAAAAATATAATAATAATATAATATTAACTGTATATAATTGTTAGAAAAAATCATGAAGTCAAATGTGCAAAAGCAATAAGATGATATGCACATTTTCGATGCAAAAGTTTTTAAGAGTCATTCGACAGGTTATGTTATGTTTAGCGTTAAATTAATGGCTCACATTATCCTTCTAATATATATTATACTAATAATAATATTGTAAGAGTAAGCTTATGTTTTCTAATATATGATTCCTTCAAGGTAAATATATGTAGTGTTTGGACAAAACTATGGAAACACATATATACTAATATTCTTCATATTTCTCAAGGAATTATTTTATGACTTAAGAAAGGTTAAGTTCATGCTATTTCTCATACATATAATGTGCAACTAATCGCATGCAATATGTTAAACACGCATTACATTGTAATTTCTGATCCAATAATCTTATAAAGTAATAAATTGTTCTCCCAGTCAAATGACCGGTTGTGGTAGAAATAGGTATACAATAAGTATTATTCAAAACAAACATAATACAAAAATATAATAATAATATAATATTAACTGTATATAATTGTTAGAAAAAATCATGAAGTCAAATGTGCAAAAGCAATAAGATGATATGCACATTTTCGATGCAAAAGTTTTTAAGAGTCATTCGACAGGTTATGTTATGTTTAGCGTTAAATTAATGGCTCACATTATCCTTCTAATATATATTATACTAATAATAATATTGTAAGAGTAAGCTTATGTTTTTTAATATATGATTCCTTCAAGGTAAATATATGTAGTGTTTGGACAAAACTATGGAAACACATATATACTAATATTCTTCATATTTCTCAAGGAATTATTTTATGACTTAAGAAAGGTTTAGTTCATGCTATTTCTCATACATATTAATAAAGTTTAAAGCTTATCGATATTTGAGGAACTGGCAGTAAATTATGAACAAAAAAAATTGTGTTTTTGAACATCCTATGCATAAAAAAATGGAGCAATAAGCTTGTAACTTATATAAATTACTTTGGTTATCATATGCAATAACTGCACAAAATTTTATAACCCTAGCTTAAATATCCTGGAGATAAAGACATTTTTATAAAAAACAATTTTTTTCACACCATGTTTTCTTACTATAAGAGCAAAAATATTCAATAAAATTAAACAAAATTTTCAGCATAATTTTTCATAAATAATAAAAATATTTCAAAAGTTAAAAAAGTTCTTTAAAAACCGTACTGTATTTAAAGTCGTCCTTTCACACCGTGCAATGCGCGAAAAACATTACAAAAAAAAATTTCATAATTTTATCCTGAATTGTATTTGATAACTTATAAAAGAAATGTGATGTGAATATCCTGAAAAATTAAAAAGTTTCTAGAAATTTTTGAAGCAATTTTTGTATGGTGATGAAGTAATGTTTTGAAAGGTGAAGAGTTTTCTACAAATTTATTTTATATTATTAAACAAGATCTATTAAAATGACATAGGTATTATATAGGACCTTTTCCTAATAAATTATGTTTTATTTCATGTTTTATTTCCTAATACTATCACATTTTTTTGCTTGGACTATCATTGTAGGGAATTATAATTTCTTATTAAATTTTGTTATATGATACAAAATGAAATTTGTGGGAAACCCCTCATCATTTAGAGCTATTAATAAAAATGTACAAAAGCTACTTACAAAATTACTAATACCTTTTTACACTTCAAAGAATTGGTCTTTTTTCATAAGTTACCAAATAAGATTCAAAAGAAAATTATGAAAATCTTTTTTTACATGTTTTCTGTGCATGCAAATTATTAAAGGATTACTTAAAATACTCATATTTGAGGAATTTGTGAAGAATTTTTTTCAAAATTTAAAATTATATTTTTGCAGTAATAGTAAGAAAGCAAAAGACAAAAAAAAATTTATTTATAAAAATGTCAATATTACCATGAATATTTTAACGTAGGCTTACGAAATTCTGTGCAGTTATGACATATGATAACTTAAGTAATTGAAATAAGTAACAAGCTTATTGATATATTTTTCGGCATAGGGTGTCCAAAAAAAAACATTTCGGCTGTAATTTAGTGACGGCCCCTCAAACATTTATAAGTTTTAAACTTTATTGATATGTATCACAAATCACATGACCTAACAATTCTTAAGTTTTAAAATAATTCTCTGAAAATTTCTTGAGAAATATGAAAAAATGAGTTTGTAAAGAAGGTTTCCATAATTTTGGCCAACACCTGAATGTCTGTGTTGACTTTATCTATAATTGGTCAACAAATTCTCAAAAAATTCCAAAACTACTAATGTACAAAATTGTAAATAATTGATGCTAAAAAAAGCTTTTGATATTAGCTAAAAAATATTATTAAAATGCTCCAAATTAACCAAACTGAATTAAACATCCAAATTTTAAATACGTTGCATAGTAAGGTTAGAGTTCGTATAATTTCACACAATGAATATTTCTGCTACATAGTAAAGTAATTCTAAAAATAGTAAGAATAGCAAATTAAGTACAAAATAATCATAGATAAGTTAATAATTTATTTGTTTCAAAACTTCAGCATTAACTAAGAATCTGTTGTATATCCCTGACAATTTTTCCATAAAACATATGAGCAGTGTTTATTAATGATTTGAATTTAAGTGACCTATGGTTTAACCTTATGCAGTTTCATACTTTTGGCTGCATAGCTACTTTGTATTTAGGGAGGTGAGAGGTCATAAAATAACTTCTCTTTTAATGCCTCTTAGGTTTTTACAAAAAATTTAATTATTTACATAACGTTTTAAAGTATGTAATGTAAATTGAAGATTTGTATGCATACATATTGAAAAATGTTAAAATATAAATTCTATGTTGCTTTACATATTTTTTACAAAACAGTTTTTATAAATCCTTGGTTTCATTCCAAAAAAGTTAAGCTGTTTCTATAACCAAACTAGATCACCACTCTTTTAACGCAGCAAAAATTAAGCACTTTAAAGAAATTTTTTTTTTTTAAAATTAAGGACTTTTTAAAAAATATTAGGGACCTTAAAAATAGTATGATTGTTTATCATCAAATATGCATATACCACCATTGGCCGCGCCAATTATTTAACTTTTTTAAAAGAAATCAATAAATTAAAAAAAAATAATAAAAAAACATTTTTATTATAATACAATATTTATAAGTACTAATATTTAACAGTATTAATCAACAGGACTTGCCAAAGTAGAACCAGGCAATTTTTGCTAACCCTGGTCAGGTTTTTTAAAAAATATTTTCAGATTGTTAAGGGCCAACGACATTTATGAAGCTAATCCGTATTCCATTTTTAATTATTTCACTGAAATTGAATTGTAAAGATAAGTGCAGAAATTAAGATTTGCAATTTTTTTCATACTTTTATTTCAATACTTTTATATTTTTTCATATATTTTTAAAAAATGAGTAAACAACGAAATTTGGGAAAAACATTGAAAAAATTATCACGTTTTTATATTTCACTACTAGACATGCATCACATATTCAGTTGTGGGAAAATCTTGCTAAATATTCAGATAAACCAAAAAAATCTTTCTTTTCTATTAATGAAATATTTTATTTATAAGAGTACATATTAAAAGAATTAATACTAAAAGGTTGTTTTAGAGAATGCATGAGAGTAGTTTTCTTAACTATGTCATGTTAAATTAGTCATATTTCAAGTAGAAACAGACCATAATACATTTTCATTAAGCTTAACTTAATAATTTTTTTTTCTATTCATTGCAATAAATATTTTTATGAAATATTTTTATACAATAAAAGTACAATTATGTTTGAGAAGATTTATAATTTTCACATCAAAATGTTTTTTTATTAGTTCTCAGTGAAATGGTCGAAAATAATTTCTCAAAGGTATCAACGCATTCCTATGGCNTTATGAAATATTTTTATACAATAAAAGTACAATTATGTTTGAGAAGATTTATAATTTTCACATCAAAATGTTTTTTTATTAGTTCTCAGTGAAATGGTCGAAAATAATTTCGCAAAGGTATCAACGCACTCCTATGGCCAGAAAATTGATAACGCTCCTTAATTAACAAATACTGATAAATTATTTTTTTTTCATCATTTACAGATATTTACTTTTAATATTTCTTTATCATTCTCCTACTATTATTCTCCACTAATATTATGATTTGACATTTTATTTTTATCGTGAATTAACAGTTTAAAACTGAAAGTGGTATTCTTTTATTCTAAAATAATTCTGCATCACCTTATTAGAAAACGTTTTGTAAAAAAATATTGAAAAGTTTTATAAAAAACATATTGAAAATGGTATGCAAAATAATGGTTTGATATAATTATTAAACAGCAAATGTGTTATATTTGCTTAATTAACTTAACATAATATTACTAAACAATCTGGCTAATTTTATAGCAAACAAAAGTTAAATAGAAATTAAAAAAGTAGAAAAAAAACAGTGTATTAAGTTGCTATGTTAACTGAATAAAGTGATTATTAAAATCCAAGTTTGAATTTTATTCTAATCGACATTAATAACAAAAAGTTTAGGATCTTTTAATTCAGTAGATTTAAATTTTTATGTAACAATCTGCTTATCCATAAGAAATCAAAATAATAGTATAACACTCTACAACTATAAAAAAAATTTGCAACAAAACAAGTTGTAAATAGTTACCAAACATTAAACATTTTTGTTAGAAGAAAATCATGCATTCTTGTTTAGAACTCAAGAATCGAAGAATATTTTTGAAAAAACTTGGGGTTTTATCATATTACTGCTTTCTATAAATTTACAGTTACTTATTACACGCTGAAATATTATAAAAATTTATTTAATTCTTCAAGATTTTTGGGAATAGATTTCGTTAGTTCAAATTTTTTTTCTTTCTGATACTTCTATTGTTAGGGTTTTACTCCAGTCCTATTAGCAGATGCGTAACCAGAACTGAATTTCTTGAATTATGTTGATTTTGAAGGTCAGTATGGGTCTTCTATTTCGGTACGTTAGAGCAGCCCCCCCCCCCCAAACCACTATTTCTTTCATGTCCAGTATTTTGACTGTCCACACTCTATTATTTTAGAATGCTTTTTCATAGTATCATAGAGTATCAGTCTAAGCAAAAAGCAGATCACTAATAAAAGGACAAGGCCCTCTCACATACATCCCTTCCTTGTCCCCCATAAAGCTCTACCCCCGATGCAGGGTCAAATTCTAGATGATAAAAGAACAACTTTAAACAAAAAAAAATTTAACTGAAAAATTGTTCCTATCAACTATAGTCATACTGAAAAATTAAGGATTTTAGAAACCGTGCACCGAAATTAAGTACTTTTTAGGGCCCTTACTTTCCAAAATAAAAATTAAGCAGTTTTTAAGGAGCGTGGGAACCCTGTAATATTACATATTTCATAAAGTGAATTATAATGATAAGGCTGACTGTCTGTATGGTGGTCAGCAAGCTGATCTGAAGTCAGAAAAATCCTCGGTTCGAATCCTAGATAAGGTACTATCTGTCCTTGAGAGAGTGGTCAACAAATCTGCCCCTCTGATAACCGAATGACAAAAGTGAATATTAGAAAGAAAGAAAAAACTAGAAACAATAATCGGAAAAAAAACCTTGACAACAATACCAAGGAACAGTCATAAAGGTGTCACCTTTATGTGGAAGGTGGAAAAAGTTACTAGTTAAAAGTTAACATTTTACTACAAACCTATCATAAATGCACTGGTTTCCAGATTACGTAAATTATCTCCAGTACTATTCAACAAATTGAAAATGGTCAAAAGATAGACAATCCATTCTGATGCAACTTAAAATATAAAGAGCAAAGCAAAACCAAAAACGCTATCAAAATCTGAGGCAGGATGAACAGTAAACATCAAAACCAGTTAGATACTCGAGGAAACAAACATAAGTTTTAAAATAATTATAAGCAAGACCAGGAAGTTTACAACTTAAAAATTCCAAACAAATTCCATCCTAAACCCACATGGTCTTTCCCTCATTTTTTCGGCAGTTATTCTAGAAATTTCTGCATGGTTTTCAAAATCTAAATTTTTTAACACGCTATTAGGACTCTGGAAATATTGAGATGCCCTATTGAATAATATTTTATTGTGTGCTCGATTTGCGATGATTAAGCTGTAAATTCACATTGCTTTGCCCTTCAATTTTTGGACAGTTCTTACAACACATTTTTACACAGTTTTTAAAATAACAATGTTTTTAATTCATACTATTGCTACAAAATTATGACACGCCAAAAACCTTTTTTGAGATGTGTAAACAAGGTGAAATATCTTAGTTGGCTGAGAAACATTGAATTAAACATTAAATCAATGAAACCATGTTTTTATTTACTAAGTGGGAAAGGTTTTAAATGATAGCTAGTTTTATCTAAGATTTATTTATAGATCAGACCTAATTCCTTAACATTATCATACCCTCCAACATTTGAGGTTTGTATAAAATAATTTTTCCAGTGGTAGCAAACTAAAATAGAATTTTTTAAAGCAAACCAAACTTTTAAATAGCTTTTATCAAACCTAAAGCAATGACCATTTGTCAATCTGGACTTTTATATATCTGCTTAAGTGATGGACAAAATCCTTTTAATTCTAATTTATTAAAATATTTATACAGATATGTCAGTTCAGTTGCTAAAAGGTACAAAAATGAGAACTGAAAACTTACTGGCTATGACAGATTTATGAAGCTTTTTGACAAGATCGAGTAATCTTCTTTTGTGCTTCACAGACTTGAGGGCTACCATTTTTCAGATTGAGCACTTTAGACTTTTTGCCAGTGGCAAAATCACACTCACTCCATGCTGCTTGTTTATTATATTTACAAGCTAGAAATGTATTAAAATATATTCTGTATAAAAATATAAATGGTTTAAGAAATGTATACCAACAATTAATCAATCAGTTTATATAGTGGACAGTAATCACTTTAATCAGCACTTTAATACTAGTAATTACTACTTTAATACTAATATTTTTATCATAACATTGAAATCTAATAATAGTTCAATAATTTTTTTAAAGTTCATTTCATACTCTTTTGATACTCGGGGAATATGAGCAACAATGAAAATTCAAATAAAGATGGGTTTTTTTTCAAATTTTCTTTAAAATCAGTTTCGAAAAAAAAAATTTAAAAAAAATACTATCAGACTATTAAATACAGATATTCTGGAAAACATTATGTGAACAAATATACTAATATCTGTTTCTCAGCAGTAAAATAATTCTAGGTACACAGCAAGACTTTTGTTTTGATCCTCACTAATTAAACACAAAGGTCAAAATTGAATCTAATGAAGTACATATAGGTGCATCTGAAAAAAATTTAGTCCCTTTGGAAAATAAAAAAACACAAAAAGAGCTTTTTCTGGAATAATGGATTAAAATCTCTTATTTTATAATGAAATTACACTGTGTCCTTTTCCTGACTTCATTCCTGGTGATTTACACATAACATGACCATATGCATCCACACAACACCCGTTTTCAACCATCACCTACTGCTTTGTGGAGATACCCTTCCCTCAGTTTTATCATTTTTTGATGTTTTATAACCATTAATGCATTTGGTATGAAGGTAGCATGTTTTTAATTTTTTAAATTGATAAGAATTTTCTTTTTACAATTAGTTGTTCAGGAAATGAACAGTTTCAGATTACATAGCAAAATTCCAAACAAGTTCAAAAATAATAAATATTTAATAAAGTTTTTTTTTTTTTGCATGGAATTATCCTTGGAAAGTAAAATTAACATTAAGGGGCCAAAACTACAAAACTATTGGGACTATATTTCTCAGATTGCAGCTACCACTTATATTTTGGTGGTCAGATATCTGAATACGTCGAAAAAAAGATATGTTATTCAGAGAACGTAAGTTATTGTGTCTGATTTTGTCACTTAAAATATCATCTGCATTTATTAATTAGCATATTTGAGGTCACCCCTTCAATCCATTAATATTGAGTCCTAGAACATGAAGATCCTATCATTAGATAAAAGGTTATTTAGGGTGATCAATTTTTTATTTTTAAGCTCAGTACATACAATCAAAGGCTAATAATAAATCATTAAGATCAGATATCAATACTTTGAATTGTATTGACTTTTAATTTGAGAATTTAATAATTTTTTTTAAGGAATGATGAAGCAATATAAATAATTCAAAGTAAGAAATGTCAGTGATTTAGTCTTAACCATTTAATGAAATATTTTTACTATTAGCTAAGCATGATTGTAATAGAAGGGAATGAAAACTTAAAATATTCCACCAAATTTGAAACAAACTGAATAATAATTATAATTTTAAATGGAAAACATATTCCATGCTAATTGTGTATCAGTAAGGATACCTATGTTAGTTTGGATTCTAGTACATTCTTAACATGAGAAGGCAACCTAAGCACTAGGAAGGTAGTAAAGCTGGACTAAAGTAGACTAACTAGAAGAATATAAAATGTGCTTTATATTTTACATAGCTGCTAACATGGATGCCAGTAGATTTTACAAAATATAAATTTCATGATAATTGTTACATTATGTACAAAATATTTTACACATAGGGATTTTTATAGTAATCAAAATACAAAAACTAATATTTTTTAGTCATGATTGCTATTAAATATGCTTGAAATGTTATGCATTATGTTAACTCATAATTTTGAATAGTAATTAATAGATATTTAATTCATCATTAGCCAAATTTTTTTAAAATTAAGTTTAAAAAAGGAGTTCAGAATAAAAATAAACTGAACATTTTAGAACAAAAAGAGTTTTAAACTGATATTTATAAATGATGTTTGCTTCATTATATATTAGTAATATTTATTTAAATATTCAAGCTAGCAATAATCTGTGATAAAAATTCCATTTTAATAGGGAATTTTTCAGGAAACTTACTAAATTTTAGGGAATTTTCTAAAATGTAAAAAAACCAGAATTTTTATTAAAACAGTAGACCAGGAGAAACTGGCAAAATCCAATAGAGTTGGCAGCTATGTAATTATGATAACTATCTATTAGCACTAATTGATAGAAATCACTTCTACACTATAGATATAGGCACCATAGAATATTTTAATATCTAAACGGTATTGTTAAAAAAAAAATTCTACACTTCATTTCTTTAACAAGTTTTTTGCTAAAATTACACAAAATATTTTAAAAATTTTTTCAATATTTAAATGATAAAAGCTATTTCTTAATATGAAAATTTGTTCTTCTGCTGAAGATAAAAAATAAATTTTTTTCACTGTATTTTTTTTAAAGTCGCTACTGAAATTACAAAAAGGCATAAGAAAAGGGGACAGCGACATCACTTACAACACCCCAGGTTTCTGTAAGTTAAAAGAATCGTTAGTTTTTTTAAAAACATTTTACTTAAAAATAACTAAGTTAAATTATCTCTAATTTTTAAGATTGTAACTGGGCAGAATGAGACCACCCCCCTGAAATAAAATAAATTCCTTCTATTCTTATAAGAATTATTCTTTTTGCTTGAAAATAAATTCTTTTTGAAAAAAAAAATGTTTTGTTAACTTAAAAAGTGATGTTTGGTTGTAATAAATTTATTGGTTGTCATTTTTCTTTCTCTCAGTTCAAATTAATCTCCATAAAAATCACAGAAAAGTGATATAACTAATGGAGAGGACTATGCCAGAAAATGGTTGGTGATGAGTAAAAATGGGGGTTATCTTAAAATTCAAGAGGTCATTTTACATAAAAATTAGCAGGTATAGTATTTTTTTTCTTCTAAGCAGAGTGTTATTAATAACTTGCTGAAGTTTCTCCTTTGAAGAGGTGAGATTTTTGGAACCAGTCTTTCTTCTATTAGACCTATTCTTTCTTAATTATCATGTTTTGAAATATTTAATTTGTGTTCAGAGATAATATAGAAGTTTTTATATTGTAACTTATTCAAAGAGAGTGATTGTGAATAACATTAAAATTTTTAAAAAAATAAATTCGAATAAGAAATTAAAATTTTTAATAAAAAAAATAAAGTCTAAATCAAATAAGAAATTACCTTTTTTGCATTTTTTAGTTAAAGTTCTGGTAGGTTGGCACGATGAATCACTTTTTGGTTTTAGAGTGTCTGTCCTTACTTTGGAGTTGGTTTCACATTCACTCCACTCACCTTTTTCATATTTACAAGCTATAACAGAAAAGCTATATCATTATTCTACAAAAGTAGAGCTTTATTTGAAATTTAAAAACTTACTTTTTTTACAATGGCGGGTAACAACTTTTGTTTGCTCACACGTTGAATCTCCACGTTTTAAATTAAGAGTTTTTCTCTGCAAATTCGATGAGTCACACTCACTCCAGGAACTTTTCTTATACCGACATTCATTGTCTAAATACAACAATTATTTTAATGTGAACATTTTTATACATTTTATAATCAAAACATAAAAATTACTTTTAAAGAATAATTCAATATCCAAATTCATTCGTAGACAAAAAAGCATAATAAAGCTTGATTCCTAAAATTTATGAACTACATTATATGGCATTTCATTTGGAAGAAACCTACATCTTCCAGAACACTGGAAGAAACATGAGAAGACCAGAAGACAAAATGGGAGAAATTTACTTGAATAAAGTAACAAAGAGATACCAGTTTTTTGCAGTTACCGTTTTTAAAAACAACTTGTTTATGTATTTTAAAATCTATATAGAATATTAAAGAGTCAGAGTATTCATTGTTCAAAGTATTTGGTTAAAACAAAATTATATGTTATTTGTAACTGTGCTTTCAAAGTGTGTTTTTAGTAGTGTATACTTAGTAAGTGATTTGCTAATTTTAACTGTTTAAAAAAAAAAAATAAATAAAAAAAAACATTTAATATTTTTCTTCTATAAAAATTTATAATCTAAAGAGGTTTTTTCATTTTTTTTTTCACTTAGGTTGGAAGAAACTTGAGATCCCTGTAAAAATAAATATTTATTAACTAACAGCTAGTTATTATCCTAGCCATAGAGTGAAAAATAATTGTTACTTAATAAAGATACATTAGGTTGACAATATCAATTAAGTTTGTCAACCTAATAATTGTGCCTAACAATTATGCCAATACAAGTCACGCTAATGCAATATATGCTAGTAAGAATATTTCAATATTTCTGAATTTGGAAGTTTCTGTGTTAATGATCAAGTTGAGATAAATGTTCAAAGTTTGCAGTTTTGTCACATTTCTTGACCAAATGTGACTTTTCCATCATGTCCAGAAGTCAGAATTGTGACATTAAACACTAAAGATGGCATTTGGTCAATGTGACAAAACTGTGCAAACTTTGAGTCTTTAACAGAACTTGATCATTAACATGAAAACTTCTTAAGAATTTCTATACCTGTATGGGTGATTCTTTTGAAACATGACAATTCGGGGGGAAAACTTTCTTCAAATTTAAAGTCTTCAAAATAATCTAAATATTCTTTTGCATATTTATTTAGTTACTTTTATTAATATCTTACAGACAGCAGTGTAGTGTAGCATTAATATCTTTCTTAGGCAGACAGCATTTCCTCAAGAACAAAAATAAAAGAAAAATTCACCAAATTTTGAATGCTAGGAAAATGACTAGAAGACCAGGAAAATGAAATATTAGTTTAGAAAAGTCATTTTAAACTAGTAGTAAGTAACTAAAGTTAAGAAACTCAAAAAAAAACAAAGTTGAAAAGTTAATATTAAATTTTTATGTAAATAAATTCCAAACATAATTATTGTGAACGATTTGAACAAATTAGTTAAATATAATAAAAGTGAAAGAGTGACACACACACAATGCGATTTTTTTTTTAAAATTTTACTACATTTTAGTTTGCAAAGAAACTGATAAAACAAAAAACAAAAAAAATTTGCAAAATTTCATTAATCTTGAAGCTGTCAGAAGAAGCAAAACTCATACCATTTCTTCTCGGCTTTTCACTTTTTTTTCTCAGTTTATTTTCCCTTGACTGTTTTCAGGCCCCATGTTTTAAAATAACCTAGTAAATTTAGTTTTATAATAATTTACATAAAAAATGTTTTTTAATTATATTATTTGAAATTAAGATATTTCAAAACATTTTATTTTACAACTTTATTACATTCTTTAATTTATACGTCCAAGTAGAGTTTAAAGATTACGACAGAATAAAATTGTATAATGATGTTTTTAACGAATCCTTTATATTTTAACTATCTGTATTTGAAAAAAAAATTAACCTAAAGCCTTTGTGTTAGATGAACCATGAATTGCTTAAATTAATTTTTTTATCCACTGCAGAAAGAATCAAAAATGTTCTTGTTGTTGTTATGTACAGAATAAAATTGTGTATAATAATCAACCATTAATTAACTTTAATTACATATAAGCATATTACATTATACAAGCATACTGCACTTTAATTTAACATTTAGGCCCAAGACATTTACTCTTTCCACAGAAAACTACAGGATTTTTTAAAATAACTCGGGTAAATCTATATAGTTTATGTTAGTTCAAGAAGACAGGAAAATGACAACATAAAACCCTACCCATCTTATGAAATTTTTTGAAATAGATTGTGACTCAGAAAGTTGGTTCCTTATTCCTGCAATAAAACATGTTCTAATAGGATGGTATTCTAATCAATCTCTTAACCTAAGATACTGATTGCTGGTGCTATTTATTTTGGTTATTAATAACTAACAAAAATGGCCAGAAAAATGACTGATATTCAAGTGACAAACAAATTATTGACAGAAAATATTATTTTCTACAAAGTTTTTGGAAATAATAATACCCTCTGCATATATTCTAAAAATGCTTGCAACGGTTGAGATAAAAAAAAATTACATATTGAAAAATGTATGGGAAGTTTTGAAGCTAGTTATTATTAGAAATATTGTTAATGACATACAAGGAACAGGATATTTTGAAATTAAATTAAATGTTTTAATTATACAAAACAGTCAATGCTAACAGCAATGCTATTAATTAAAAAAAAGTTCGTTTAGTAGTATAGTATTAGATCTTAGAGCAGCAAAAAACTGTGAATTGTCGTATTACATGAGAATCACCCATATATTTTAATTTAGTATTCCATTATCAACCATTCTGTTATTCTCATTTAAAAAGTTCTAAAGGCTTTCAAGATGGGGCCATGGAGTAGCGTCACTTGTCATACTATTACAGCGGATTACTTGTCACTATGAATGTAAAATAATTCAATTGTTCACCATTAATCGAGAGAGAAACATCTCTCACCTTCATTTAAGTTAAATATCCAATAAATTTTTTGTTTTGTTTCAACTCAAAATTTAATTTTAATTACATCGAACAAGCGGAAATATCAACATCCACGTCTAGTTTACTTCAAAATTCACAAAGTAATTTACTGTAAATATTTTGTAGTTTTTGCTAAGGAATATGCAGGTAAATCAAACATTCAATCATTGGGACAATTAGTTAATCCACCTTTTCCTTTCTGGTGCAAATCAACTAAAAAATACTGTGAACATCAAGAAAAAAAATTGTACAATTCTTTGCTAGCTACTGACAATTTATAGAGCATCATACAAGGATGTAAACAAACTGTAATAGATGCTATTGATACTGTTAATGTTTGACAGGAAAAAAATTGGAAAAAAATTAGTTCTATTATAAAAAAGGTAATTTTCTGTTAGAGAAATGGATATTCTTTAAGAGATCGTGATTGCAGCCAAATTAATAAAATAAATGAAAGCAAGGAACATAACAATCATGATGGAAATTTTTTCCAACTACTTAAATTTGGAATTAATGTAGGAGATGAAGTGCTAAAAGAGCATTTGAAATCAACTGCTAATAATGCAACATATATATTGAATAAGAGGAAAAATTAAATTATGCATGCTTGCAACAAAATATTTAAAAAAATTTATTAAAAAAGTAAATTCAAACAAATGCTTTTCTATTTCAGTGGATGAAACCACAGATATTTCCTTGAAAGTAAGGGCAAGGGGTCCAGAGTAGTAAAGAAGAGAGAGAGAAAGTAAGGGGTCCAAAAGTAAGGGCAAGACTTTCTTACTAATTGAAAATTTTTAACAGTTAGTGTTCGTGATTTTCACATGTGGAGAAGATCTAAGAAACTTTAGCATCATTAGGTTTGGAAAACAGACACATACTAGGCCAAGGACAACATGGTGCTGCTGCCATGTCCATACAAGGACAAGCTAGGATCCAGGATGCAGAAGCCGAATTAAGAGAAAAATCCCTATCATTGCTATATGTGCATAGCACTTTTCATTCTCTAAATCTGCCAATTTCAGACGTAAGCCAAATTAAAAGATGTTTGTGATTTCATTGGAATTATTGAAAAATGTTATTCCTTCAGGAATACTCTTAAAACAAATAGTGTTTTGCAGAATAGTATTTTAGAACTGTGCCCTTCTTCCAGGAAAAAAGCATTTAAAAAGCTATCTCCTGCAAGCTGAATAGAGTGACACAAATTTATTATGGTGATGGTGGAATTGCTCAGTACCTTGATTTATGTTCTTGGAATAATTGGAAATATACTTGATAAGGATTTGTCTGTCTGAGTCTACATTTGTTTAAATTCATTGAGAAGTTCCAATGCTGCCCATGTCTTATTTTCAATACAAAAAATATTTCCTCTTACATTGCCCCTTTAGGATTTTGGAATCTAGGGCAGTGAATCTTAGTGCTGCTGCTCAACTTTGTGACGATATTGTAGAAGAACTTGAAATAATTCGTACTCCATCAATGATAGTTTTCAACTCCATTTTCCTAAAAATCGGAATAAGTTTTAAAACAAATAAAGGATGACTATAGAATTTTTGTTCCATGACTAGCAAAAAAACAAATATATCGTTCTAACATTTCAAAAGAATCACCTGGATTTTATTTTAGAATAACAATATTTAGTCAATTTTAGATACTGCAATTTTACACCTAAAAGAAATATTAACAAAGTATTACGTAACTATGATTTCCTTAAACATTTTAATCATATCAGAGAATTACATCATATCTGCAGATGAAAATAAATTAGAAATACTAAAGGAAACACATTCCTCAGATTTTTATTTTATTTTATATTATAACCGTCGTTGAACAGCCGACCCAATTTTATGGGTTTGCGACTATTAATGTTCAACTCCGTACCCTTTAAAATTTGAACCCTATCCAGAAGACAAGGGAACTCGTCTGAAAAATAATGCATCATAATTAAGACAATTCAACTCATTGCTTTGACAAATATTAAATTCAAAGCACCTTTTAAAAGCAAAAGTAAACTAATTGATTATCTTTTTTTTTCATCATAAATCATTTTTGTTTTCATTAACTCTTCACTTTGGCTTCCTTTAATGCTTTCTAAGAACAGCT